ATGTGACCTATTTTGCTTGGGTTCATAGACCTACAGGGAGGATTCATATTCTCCAAGGGGATAATATCAAGGCTAAGTATAGCATTCAGCCAATTCACAGAATTACACAACAGTTAAAGTGCTGTCTTTCAATATACCTTTCCTTTTTTATAGTTTTTAATGTGGATCTCTCTTTTCTTTCATTTTTTTCATTCATTAGTTCTACATTTCCTTCATTCTGTTCCCTTACTCCCTTTCTTCCTCCACTTGCCTTTCTTTCCATATCTCTTTTTTCTCTTTCTTCCTCTTAACTTCTTGGCTTACGACACATGCTTATCATTGATCTATGCAAGGTCCACTTTCATTTATTATTTGTTGATTGATTTAGTTAGTTAATTTGGTTATATTTCAAAGGATGTAATATGCAATCATGAAAATACTCTTCTGTCCTCAAAGACTAGGATTTTGACAAAAAGCTGTATCCAAACACAAAGATATACCTCATTTTATCACACTTTGCTCTATTGTATGTTTTACAAATTGAATGTTTGTAGCAACCCTTCTTCAAGCAAGTCTGTCAGTGCCATTTCTCTAACAAGCTCAGATGATGGTTATCATTTTTTTTTTGCAATAAAGTATTTATTTAATTAAGGTACATACATTGTTTTATTTAGACATAATGCTTTTAAACACTTAATAGACTGCACTATAGTGTAAACATAACTTTTATGTGCATTGAGGATCCAAAAACTTCACACCACTTGCTTTATTGTTATATTGACTTTACTGTAGTGGTCTGAAACTGAATCTGCAATATTTCTAAAGTATGACTGTATTCCCATCACCAACCAGCGTCCCTTCTGAACAATCAACATTCCTATATATTTTTCTTGCATATATATTCTCAAAATGCAATGTTTTAAAAGTTTTAATCATTTATAGCTTTGTAAAATAGTTTTTTTCCCACTTAATATTATATGGCTAAGAGTCATTCATATTTATGGCTCTCTCTGTATTCACTCATTTTGATTGCAGTATAATGTTCCATTGCGTGAATATTCCATAACCACAATTAATTTATTCACTCTTTTGGGGTTGTCTGGGATTATTTCAGGTAAGTTCTATAAAAATTTCAAGGAAGATATTATCACAGTTTTATACAAACTTGCAGAGAATGGAAAAAGAGGAAAATTTTTCCAATTTATTTTATGTGGCCCTGAAACTAACACAAAAAGGACATTTTAAGAAAGAAAAATTACAGATCCATCTCACTCATGAGTATGAATGTAAAGATTCTAAATAAAATATTAGCTGATTGAATCCAATCATGCAAAAAAACATGAAATCAGGTTGGATACACCCCAAGCTTCCATGACATAATATTTGAAATGTTTAAATATCACTTATTACAGTAACAGATTAAATGAAAAAATTATTTCAAAAGATGCATAAAAGACTGCTAACATTTAAAAATGTATTGATAATAAAAATATTAGTACATTTAGAATGAAAGAAGCACCTATAAAATGCTTAGATTAATTATAACCCTAAATAGCAGATACGGGAAATATTCTTTTAAAGATAGAAGTATAAGGATGTCCACTGTCACCACTTCATGTCAAAATTGTGTTGAAGGTCCTAGAAAAGGAGAAAAAAAGATTGGAGGAATAAAAATAGTTAAGGGGAAATGGCATTATAATTATTTACAGATAACATGATTCTTTTTATAGAAATTTAAAAAATTTATAGATAAATGCTTAAGTATAGTAACAGTTTTGTAAGGGTTTTTCAACCTCAAAACTATTGACATTTTAAACTGGATAATTCTTTATTGTAAGAGGCTGTCCTATGCATTGTAAGATGTTTAATACTATCCCTGACCACTTCTACCCGTCAACCGGGGTAGCACTTCCCCAACTGCAACAACCAAAAATGTCTCCACACATCGCCAAATATCTCCTGGTGGACAGAATCATTTCCAGTTGAGAATCTCTGGGCTAGATAAAAGACTAATACAGAAAAAAGTCAGCTTCATTCTGTATACTATCAGTTAAGCAGTAGATAATATAAGACACCATTTAAAATAGCTTCAGAGAGTATTAATTACCTAGGAGTAAATTGACAAAAAATGATTAAGTGTAGTGAAAAAAAAATTAAGATTTAGAAAAGAAGATTTAAACAACTGAGAGACAACTCATCCTCATGAATAGGAAGATATCATACACATACAAATCTTCCCCAATAACTTGTAGATTCCATATATTTTCCAATCAAAATCTAAACAGAACTGTCATAGAACTTAATAAGATGCTTGTAAATTATATACAGAAGAGTATAAAGCCAAGAGAAGTCTGGACACTTCTGAGAAAGAAAAATAGGGAGTGGGAACTTGCCATATCAGAATGTCTTATTACAAAACTTTTTAATAATTTATATAGTATAATTTTGGCTCACAGAGAGACAAATGAATTAACAGAAAAGGAGAGGAAGCCTGGAACATGACCCATTTTTCTATGTAACTTAGATAAAAATAAAAGGGAAGCACCTCTCCAGTTAATTGAAAAGGAGTGGAGGTTGTTGCTTAAAAAATATCAATATAGGAAAAAAAATTTAACCGTATTCCAACTTCACACTATGAATCAACTATGAGTAGATTAAAAAATGCAAATGTCAAAAGCAAAATTTAAAAGTTCTTAGTAAGCATTCATTATAAAACCCGATAAATTTGATGACTTTAAATCCAGATGGCAAAAGCATTTTTTTCCACCAACACATTGGACTAGATAATCAGAAACCTCATCCTAGTACAGCAAATTTGAAAAGGCAGGAATATATGTACACAAATACACACACACAGACACACACCTCTTTCATACATGCACTTTTCACTATTAGAGATACAATAAATAATTAACAATTTACAATGAAAGTTGTATAAATAAATAAATAATAAATGAATGAATGAATGAGTGAATGAATGAATAAATAAATAACTGACATTAGATAGCCCCCAAAAGAAATAATAAAGGACTTAAGTTGCTCAAGATAGTGTTTTTTTCATTACGGCATAAAAATGTACTGAATTCAGAGTATTGCAACATACTTTGGTTTGTTCCCAAATTCCTCTTAAAATATATTATTTAATTTTGTCTAATTATTACTTATTTTTTCCATTTCTTTTCTTTAACCAAATGTTTGATATTTTAATATTCTTATTGGTCACTTTTCTTATAAGAGATTTTATTCAAACCCTTGAAATCATCTGCTCCCCTGAGATGTGTATTACTAAATAATAGATCTTTTCTTATTTTAAAAATTCGATCAGCTTATTTGAGTAGAGAGGCTTCCCCTTATCTGTGGTTTTGCTTTCTGTAGTTTCAATTACCTACAGTCAACCATGGTCTGAAAATATTAAATGGAAAATTCCAGAAATAATCAATTCATAAGTTTTAAATTATACAGCATTCTAAGTATCATGATGAAATCTCACGCTGTCCTGCTCCATCCTGCCCAAGATATGACTCATTCCTTTGTCTAGAGTATCCATGCATTATGCGCTACTTTCCCGTTCACCTAGTAGCTATTTCAACTGTCATGGTATTGCACTGCTTGCATGACCCTTATTTTACTTATTAATGGTCCCAAAGTGCAAGAGTAGTGATTCTGGAAATTCAGACATGCCAAAGAAGAGCCATAAAGTGCGTCCTTTAAGGTGAAAGTTTTCGATTAATAAGAAAAGGAGGAAAGAAATTATATGCTGAGGTTGCTCAGATCTATGGTAAGACTAAATCTTTTGTCCGTGAAATTGTGAAGGAAAAATAAATTTTCTCTAGTTTTACTGTTGAACCTCAAACTACAAAAGTTACGGCCACCGTGCATGGTAAGTGCTCAGTTAAGATGGTAAAGGCATTAAATTTGTGGGTGGAAGACATAAACAGAAAGTTTGTTTCTATCTGCAGCCAACATGTTTTACAGGACAGCATTGAACCTATAGGAAGACTTCAGAAATGGAAGACATAAACAGAAAATTTGTTTCTATCTGCAGCCAACATGTTTTACAGACAGGACAGCATTGAACCTATAGGAAGACTTCAGAAAGGGTCCCCTGAAACGAGTGACACCAAGCCATTTGCTATAAGCAAAGGGATGGTTACACAGATTCAGAAATAGGTTTGAATTAAACAAATATTAAAATTACTGAAAAGGCTACATCCACCATTGAAGAAGCTGCTTCCACATTGACTCAGGGAAAAGGATACCATCCAAAGCAAATTTTCAGTTGAGATGAAACCGGGCTCTTCTGGAAAAAGGTGCCCAATAGAACCTACTTTCATAAAATATGGAATGATGACAATGTGGAAGGACAGATTAACTGTGGTACTATGTGGCAATGTTGCAGGACATATGATAAAGCCAGGCATAGCATGTGGAGAGAAGAACCCATGGGCACTCAAAAATTAAAACAAAAATTACCTGCCCATTTGTTGACTACACAATCAGAAAGCATGGGCAACAGAGACTTTTTTATGAATGGTTCCACCAATGCTTCATCTCAGAAGTGTAAAAATATTTGAAAGATGGAGGGTGGAATTTAAAGTCCTATTAATAACAGACAGTGTGCACCTGGCCATCCTGAATCTGTTTGCCGTGAAGATGAAAATGTTGAGGTTGTATTTTTGCTTCCAAAACCCACCTCATTGTTTCGGCCCCTTGATTGGGGCATCGTCTGGTTTGTCAAAGCCACGTATGTCCACCTGGTTTCTGGTCACATTTGATCAGTAATTGGTGCCAACCTTAATCTGGACATAAGGCAGTGCTGGAAATCATTCACTATTGTTGATGCATTCATCAAAGCTGCAATGAACAAAGGAAAACCAGAAACTATAAATGCCTGCTTGAAGAATTTATGGAATGAAGTTGTGAATGATTGTAAAAGCTTTCCAGGAATTAATGTAGAAGTTAGGAAAATCATTCATGCAGCAAGACAAGTTGGTGGAGAAGAGTTTGCCAATATGCTTGACAAAGAAATTGAAGAACATATTGAGAAGTGTTAATATTGAAGGCATATTGAGAAGTGTTAATAATGAAGAAGTGGAAGAACTTGTCAAGTCATCCACAGAGGAAGAGGAAGACAGAGAAGAGACTGAAGCAGAACCAGCAATGTGGATATTACCGAAATTTGCTGAAGTGTTTCAAATTGACATTCGAATTGGCAGACATTAAAGGACAAAATTTTGGAATATGATCCTTGAATGGAACACAGCATTGAAGTCACCCATCTGACACCGAAGGATTACAGCCTCTGCAGCAACATAGTCATGGCTCAATGACTTAGGATCATTCAAAGCAGATGATCCGCCTTCTGACATATCATCAGGTCGATAATAGCCTAATGCTATGCCACCATGACTACATTGTTCATCTCATTTCATTTCACCACAAAGGCATTGTATTACCTTCATCATCACGAGAAGAAGGGTGAGTACAGTACAATAAGATATTTTGAGAGGGAGAGAGAGAAAGAGAGAGAGAGACCATAACCACTTAACTTTTATTATAGTATATCATAATTGTTTTATTTTATTATTATTTACTATTCTTAATCTCTTACTGTGCCTAATTTCTAAATTGAACTTTATCATAGGTATGCATATATAGGAAAAAAAATCATAGTATGTATCGGGTTCATTATTATTCATGGTTTAAGCATCCACTGGGGCCTAATTTCTAAATTGAATTTTATCATAGGTATGCATATATAGGAAAAAAATCATAGTATGTATAGAGTTCATTATTATTCATGGTTTAAGCATCCACTGGGGGTCTTGGAATGTATCTCCTGTGAATAAGGAGGAGCTACTTACTGTGCTATCAGTGCAATTATAGGTTGTATTTCTACTTCTCAAGGAGTGTTGTTTATTAATGATAATGACACTTTTCATTCTTAAATCACCCTAAATGCAAGGAATGTAATGACATTTCCACGAGAGAAAGTACTATTGTCAGTTCAGTTTCTGGCAGGAAAAACTAAGAAGGAAGGTTGGCTGAGAGAATTAGAAATGTTTTTTGACTACATTCCTCATCTTGTTTATTTCATACACCAAAATAATCAGTTAAAGAAAACCATTTTCAACCCCAAATTCCTGAAAGTAGACATATATTTTTAATATTTTTATATTTAGTCTTTATAAAAATAATGAATTGAGTGAGTACTTAGCCAAGGCAAATGAGCAAGGAGACTATACAGCGGAATTCTAGAGAGTGGTCACACATTCTGGATTCCACCTTTGTACTACAGGTATTCACATTGCCATCGTCAGTATTAACTCTAAAGGAGAATCTGAAAGCAGTTATTGATCCATGCCAATGTCTTTGGTACTCAGTTATGAAACTCTATATTATTTTTAAAGTTTTATGCTGTGATATGAGGTGAAGAATTTGTTTCCACACAATACAATTTTAGTTATTCATTCATTGATAACCTACTTTCTAGATACTGGTTTATTATGATTGTCTAGTGTCTAAGAAGGAGACTAAAATTTGTAATAGCTCAAAAAGGATAGAAATTTTTTTTTACTCAGGTAATAGTACTAGATAGATAGATGGATGAATTAACACAGACCTCCCAGCACTCACATAGGAATCCAGATTGATGCAAGCTCTCCCATCGTTGATGTGTAGCTTCTCTAGTTGCCCAGCATGTCGTTTCCATTCTAACCAGCCAGAAGGAAAAGATTACAGAAGACCACTTTGGAGGTTTTTAATGAATAAGGCACAGAAGTAGGACATAGCACTTTTGTTCACGTTCTGATGGCTAGAGCAAATCATTTGGCCACAACTCACTACAGAAAAACTGGAAATGTAGCTTAACTATGTGTCCAGGAAAAAAAGAAATGTATGTGTAACACTCTGTGCTATACATACAATGGTGAACATAATGGAAAATGCCCCACAATAATGAAGTTGATAATCTAACAACATATAGCAACCAGTTAAATAAACCACATATTTTAGATACTTGTAAGTGCTATGAAGGAAATAAATAATGTGTGTAAGAGTAAGTGATAGTGAGAGGAAATTGGCCAATTTGGATATGGTGACCTGACATGACCTCTCTCTGATATTTGAGCTGGGATATAAATGATGAGAAGGAGCTAGTCGTGCAAAGATCCAAATGAAAGAACATTGGGAAGAGAAAAAGAGAAAGAGAAACACAAAAGTCCTGAAATAGAGCAAATTTCATGTGTTTGAGGAACAGAAAAAGGCCAGAGTGGATGGAATATAGAAATGAGTATGATTACAGAAATCACAAGACCCTAAAGGCTTTAATAAACATATGTGTTTTATTCTGAATGAAATGGGAAGCCACTGAATGATTTTAGAGAGAAGATCCATATGTTTTATATTTTAAAGTATCAGTCTGTCTGCAGGGCGGAAAGTGGATTGTAGTAGCTTGCTGCTTGGATTAACGTAGAGGAAGAGGAAATGGAGAGAAAGAAAATTCTGGATATGTTTTGGAGATAAAACCTATTAATGCCTTAGATGTGGGCTTTTGTTTGTTTTTACCACTGGAGCAGTTTGGGTCTTATTTTAGGATCTTATCTCCAGATCTGACATCAACTGAGCTCTGGGTCAGACTTGGGTGGATATATCTTTTTAGGAAAGAAACTAGTGAAGAAGATTCAGTCCAGTTGCACTTGAAGTGGAGGCCAGATCAGAAGGGTTCAGCCTTGGACTTCTTCCCCAATGAGTGGAAGATTGGAACAATGGCTGCTGAAAGATTTGTCTTTTAGATCTTTGCTGTTTAATACAGACAGCTATTGAGCACTTGAAATATCATAGTCTGAAATGCAATGATCTGTTAAGTATAAAGGATACACAGCATTTTGAAGACTTGGTATATGAAAAAAAGTATAAAATATATTATTAATATTTTTATATTGGTTGCATTTTGACATAATATGTTGCATATATTGGGTTACACAAAATGTATTATTGAAAATAATTTCACTTTTTCTTTTACTTTTTTTAGACTTCTTTTAAAGAACAGCTTTAGATTTACAGAAAAATTGAGCAGATAGTACAGAAAGTTCCCATATTTCCCCCTCCCTACAGTTTTCCTAATTATTAACATTTTATATTACTGTAATGCACTTGTTACAATTAATGAACCACTATTTATACAGTGTTATTAACCATGTCCATAGTTTACATTCACTTTGTATTTTACATACAGTTAGATGGATTTTAGCTTAGGTTTGACCTGATCAAATGGATGGGCAGTCCTCAGTTGCTTATTCAGAGGGAAAAGACTGTGGAATGTGTTTGGAAATGAAAAAGAATCTAGTGTTATGTCTGAATATATAAAGTTTAAAATAATTATCAAACATCTCAGTGGAGATACAGGTAATTGGATAAGTCTGCACTCAGGACTATATGTATAAATTCAAACTCATCAGTGGAGGTATGAGGTTAAATTTCAAATTAAAATGGTGTGAAGAGTTAATGGAAAATAAAAAAAAATGGAGAAAGTAAGGACAGCTCGAAAGTTTTGTTTGATTCTTAAGGAAAGTGGATGAAGAGGCAACAAGGTTAGTAATGGGATTTGTTGGCTCACTTTATTTTTTTCCAAAGATGAAAGCTATTAGAACTCATTTGCAAACTGAAAGGAATACTGTAGACATCTAAGTTTGTTGATGCAAAAGAAAGAAAAGATAACTATGAAATCGAAAGTGCATAGAGAGTGAGAGTGAATGGGGTCCTTGCACTAGGGGAGAAATATGAGTTTGACTGGGACAGGGACGTGTGTTTTAATAAGAGGAAAAAGATAATGAGTGCAGATGCATGTAGGTTGAGGTTTTATGATGGAATGATGTGTCATTGCTGCTTTTTCTCAGGGAAAAAGCATGAGACAAGTTGAGGTGACAGGGGGAGGACGGTGTTGGATATGTGAAGCATGAAACAATTAGTCTTCCAGAAGCTAGTGGTGGAGGGTGGGGGGGAATGGACTAATGGGGGAAGTGAGGTAAGATTGCAGAGCAATGTTGACTACACATTTGAAATCTGAGGTCATAAATTTAAAGTAAGACCAGGCAGCAGGGTCAGGACTAAATGGAGCAACTGGGGCACCTAATGTGCAGAATTTAGGGAGGCACTCACTCTCAGACTCAAGCCCAAGGCACATCATGTGCCTAAGGCTATTTCTGGCCTGGCCAGACAATAAAAGTTTATGATTTCTCAAACAATATTCAGCTGCTTGAGTGTAGGCAAAGAAGTATACAACTGAGTTTAATTACGATTGTGATTTGGCAGAAAAATAGAACTGGACAGAGGAGTAAGTCCAATAGAACAGGAAGATCATAGAACCTATGCAAGGATAGGAGAGAAGAGACACTACATGGGGATGGAATATAATGACAAATTGGGCTGATAAATGAATCAGTGTATTTAAGGGCTTATAGAATTATTGCAGTGGGAGTGGAAGATAATATCCAGAGAGAAAATTTGAGAGATGATATAGTTATTAGATGAGACTTTTAAAGCGTAACTGTAATGGTGGGTGATGAGATGCATGAAAAGAATGATAATGGGAAATGAGGAAGTCAGCTGGTGCCTAGGCCAGAATGTTGAGTCATCCAAGTGTATGATGAGGCCACCAGAAGTGATAACAGGAATACGGATAGAGATGAATACAGTGAGCCAAATGCTAAAATCTTCAATGAACAAAAGCTGAGTAATTGATGTATGTAAAAGTAATCTTACTGATTCCTAAATAATTCAACTATAATGTGATTCTAATTCACATATGTAGTTCTGTTTATTGATTGTAATAAATACTTGATAAAATAAATTGGATAAGGAGAGGGAGAGCATGAATAATTGAAATTCTGTTGAAAATTTCTATTTCCTGTGGCATTTTGGTTGATGACTTAAATCTCATATATTCATTTTTCTTTTAAGGGCACTAAAATTACTGAATTAAGTGGTTTAATTTTTAGTTTTCTTATTTTTTTCTGCTTACCCAATAGCATAGGTAGTTATGAGAAGGAAAGTCAATAGTGTTTTATAGCAAGAGGGAATAAGGAACGTAATAAGCTTGACAAACTGAGTGGCTTACACTTATAAATGTATTTATAATATTTCCACGGAAAGGTGAATTAATTTTTCTTGCATTTTTTTGCATTGCAGAAACTAGAAAATGTAGATCAAGGTTGCATAAGTTTAGGCAAGGAGCGGATAGTGATGATAATAGTTTTCATTTATTGCACACCTGCCATGTGCCAGTCATGCACCAAGTACTCTACATGCATCATCTCAGGTAACCCTTGTGATAACCCAGGGAGGTTGGGGGTAGAATGTTCTCTTGACAGTTGAGAAAACAGGTTTAGTAAGGGTAACTTACCCAGGTCACGGAGGTAATTGGCTGAGCCGGAAATCAAATTCTAGTCCCTACATCCCAAGCCCATACATACACTTCCCCTGAGCAATATTCAACAGAGCCAGCATTTTCAGATAAAACTCTTCACTGGATGTATCACATTTCCTTCAAAAGCATGTTGAAGTGCTTGATGTGCCTAGTAATCAGAATATAGCTTTTCTACACATTTCTTATTGAACAGAAAATATTCAAGCTGTATAGACTCTGGGGGCGGTAGCTGACTAGTGAAAGTTACCTCATACCTCCATGTTGTTTGTTTCTATTTCTCCACTAGTGCACATTGATTAAAAAGGATTTTAAAAATAAATTCACTTTGAAATTTCTGAAATAACTAAAATCTAGGATGGAAAGAAACAAAACAAGAAAATATGCTGGAGCATAACATATTTTATATATGTAAAAAAATAGTTTGGCCTAACCAAACAGAGTTATGTTATAACCTTACCTGCGTTGTTAGTAAACTATAACAAAGTGAGGAATATTTTGAGACATTTGTCATTTGAAATCTTTTTTTCTGGACAAAATTTCACTTAATTCTGCTTTTGAGGCAACTGGACTCAGTACAAAGGATGACCCTTCAAATTTGTACTTGTAGACATGAGTAAACAGCAAGACCCCTCATGGTTGCTCAAGGGTGTTCTTTGTTACATAGATCGCAGTACCAGGGCAGTCATCTGAAATGAGCTGTGATGTGCAATGGAGTCAGTTTTCATGAGAAAGGGTTGAAGTAATTCAACTGCAAGGCTTGCCCGAGTTCAGAAATCAGATTAGAAAAAAAATTGCAAGGGTGGTTTTTAACATCGCACTGCTAACAATATGAAAGGGACTGAACTGCTTTCTTCATTTGTGAATATAAAAGATGAGAGGTGATATAAATTAAGTTCATAATGTTATGAAGAGGGTATATATGGATTTTCTTGGCATCATTAGTGGGTGCGTCTTTCATGCTTTACTGTAATTTATTGATCGCTCACTTAGTATCAAGCACTGTCTCTGATGCAGTAACTACAAAGATATAAGGTACATTCTGCCTTTACTAAGGAGACCACAGTTTTTGAGAAAGGTCAAGGATCCACCCAGTGGTGCGCTTATAATAGGTTCACAATAAATATCTGTTTAATAAATGTTTTGATCAGGTAATGGAGATGAATAATAAAAGTACGCAGAGTGCAGCGAGTGCTGTGATCGATCAGGACAGGACATGAAGAGGCACTTGGACCCCTGCTCAAGGTTTAGAAGATCAAATTTATGTAAGTGTGACCTTAGAGCCACATCCTGAAGGAATTATGTAGAGAAGAAGGGTTAAGAGGAAGGAGGATGAGACTTACAGAAAACAACATGTGTGAAGACAGGATGGTGAGAAAGAGCACGGTGAATTTAGAGAAGTAGATTTTAGGTATACGTGGCATTGTACTGAAAGAGAACCAAGATTAGTAAAGGTAGCTTCAGGAAAGCCACATATGCTCACTGAGATATTCTTATGCTATCATATGGACACTGGATCTCAAACACAGCCTTGCCATAAAACAGAGGGAATAATAGTTAATACTTTCATAATGCTTACTATATACTAAATTTTTTACATATATATTCATTTAATCTTCACATATCCCTCTAAGATGGGAATTGCTATTAGTCCATTGTAAAGACTGGACATGGTAAGTACAGTGAAATTAAGTAATTTACCCAAGATCATACCTCTAATAAGTGATAAAGCTGGGGTTAGAACTCAATGATCTGGCTCCAAAACCCACACTCCTAATCACTTTAGTATATTGCCTCTTAAAGAAATGTCAAATTTAGTTTAAGTTGCTATTAATAATGACATTTGAAGTATCTAAGTTGGACTATTATTATTTTTGTGATAATACAGCTCTCATTCACTTACTTTCCAATATACTTTCTCAAGTTGGAGAAAAGATATATAGAAACAGCTGGCACATTAGAAATTATATATGAAACTCAGACTACGTTTATGATAATGTGTTACACAGTGGTATTCTACTATCTTGGGTATCATTAGGGTAAAAGAGTTTGAGACTGTTGTAGGAGATAAGGAGTCATTCAGTGAAGGATGTCACAACATTGGGGATTTTAGTTAGAGAAAATTAAATCTTCCTTTATTCATGGAGAATATAACATCAGAATTTTTCAGAGGTATATAAATTCAGGAATTGTTGATGTTAGTATGAAATTAATAACCACTAGGTGTTTTTCCATCCAGGAATCTCTTTCTCATTTGAATTTCCATATTCTTTTGTTTAGATATCACTTAAAGAACTTTCAACATCCCATCTATTACTCTGAATTGCTGTATCCTGAAAATACATATGGGATGAACAATAATCATAATAATACCTAATTACCCATGTTCTGTGTGCTAGACAAGTATTTGCTCATTTAATTTTCGTAACAACTCTATTTTTCATCATAGTTTTACAGATAAGAAAACAGGATTTAAGGGTTAACCTGCTGCAAGTCACCAAGACTTAGAAAAGGTTTTGGTCAGATATGGCAGATGGATTTCCACTTGAGTATCTAATGAGTAGCTAAGATAATATTCATTGATTGGAAAGCTCCTATTAAATCTCCCAATTTCTCAAATCTTTCTTAATTTATGTATAAAGTCGTTTCCCATGGAACTATTAATAATAATAATAATTTAAATGCATATAGCTCTTTTAGGACTTCAAAATATGTTCATATTCATTGTTAAGCCCCTATATGACAAGTGAAGAAAAGAGACAGACACAAGTTGCGAAAGTCAATGGAGTAGTGGTGTTAGATGGCCACTCTTGACTCTCAGACTTTCCTCCATGCCATGCCATCTCTGTGGAATTAGCAGGTTTTGCTGATACCAGGTATCTGTGGTCTCATCAGAATTCACACTGTTCTAATTTTAGAAAGATTCCAGGGAACAGAGACATCTCTCCAGATAATACTAAGGAAGTACCCTAATTGCTGCTATGTAACTCTGTATTTTCAAGCTACTGTCTTAAGTCATCCATTTTGTTTGATAAGTTAAATGTTTTAGAATTTTGCGATTGTTGGTTTTAGTTGAAAACTCTACAGGTAGAATAAGAAACTCATTCTAAAATGGAAATATAAAGAGTTGGCATAAATAACTATTAGTAGTATATATTTTGGGGGGAGTACAATGTGGAAAAGAGATAGTAGGAAGGGGACACCTTCCAGTCCAGTATACAACTTAAATTCGATATGCTGTGAGAAGAAATTCAGGGAAGAAGGCCTACAGAGAGAAGACAGACAAGAAGAAAAGGGATTTTGTCCAGATAGCAAAGAGTAGTCCATGAAGATGAGGCACGAGAGGGGTTCCGAAGGCTGTTAGAGAAGGAAGGTTTATATAGTGTGGCTCGATGGAACAAGAAAACGTTGGGGGATAGTGATCCCTTTCTACCCTTAAACCTGTGATTATATAAAAGTTAATAAGAGGGAAAGTAAATTGGAGCAGAAGCTATTAAGAGAGACCATAAATGCTTCCAAGAGAAATGGGAGTTTAGAAAATACTACATTTCTTGTATCCTGCTGCCTGCCACTATTATCCTCATCACAATGAACTGAAAGAACTTTTATGATCTGAGCAGAGTTGGGACTTCCCAGCAATCACTTTCTCGCCCACTGAGAGGCTCCTACCAGCAGCCCACATTGATATACTCTTGGGCAGAGGTAGCAGAGGTGGAGGCTTGGAAGAGAAATTGAATAGGGCAACTGCTTCAGAGTGGAGCTCAAGTCAGAATAAAGTAAAATTCTAGGGGATCTGGCTGGGTCATTCTTCTGCCACATTTTGAGTTGCTGTTTGTTGTTCATATTGTTCAATAGCTGTTATGCTTCAAGATATTTACACTCTTCTCTATTAACTGTCATTCTCTGTAGCCAATATTGAATATTCAGCCTATCAATTTTTATTTATTTAACTGTTACGCCTAACTCGGATAGTCATCATTTACTTTCTAATGTGCACAATAAAGCATATCTTCTTCCTGTGCGTACGTCTGGGCCTCTTTTCGTGTAAAAGATATTATACTATCAAGAATGACCTTATATAGATTACAATCTTCATATCTCTTACTATGCACAATATATTTTTATCTACCATTCTTTCTTAGAGATAAATGAGCCCACTGAGCTATCTTACTCAATTAACATTGTTTCCTAAACATTTATAGGTAGTGCTGGGACACCCGTCGTTTTTAATGAAAATGGAGATGCTCCTGGACGCTATGATATCTTCCAGTATCAAATAACCAACAAAAGTCCAGAATACAAAGTCATTGGGCATTGGACCAATCAGCTCCATATAAAAGCAAGTATCAGTATAAATGTTCATTAATGTATATTGTTCTCAAGGAGGAATGCTTTATTTTTAAGTATACAATATAAATTTTCTTAGAATAGATTTTCTCATAAATAAATTTTAAGAAAATGTATGATTCAATCCTTCTTTCAACTTAAAATATTATGAAAAATCTTAAATGGCTGTAGAGAAATCTGATATCTGTAGGGACTTAATGAAAGATTTAATTTCTTTTTAATTGACTGTATCTACACTTAGGGGACTTTTGCCCTTTTCTGAAAGACTCCCTTGTTCAAGTCTTTGTACGCTGTGTGTGTGGGGGGCGGGGGGAGGGCTTAGTAGGAGAGTATACCACGAATGATAAAGTTTGGGCTTAAAAATAATTGCATTTCATCTTTGCCACATCATAAAATGAGACCTTTTGGCTACATTCGATTGATAGAAATGAATCATAATTTGTATTTACATTACCTCTTTCAATCACAGCACCAGAGAAAGTTAATGTACCCAAAAGTGATGTTTATTATTTAACAGCTCTTAGAGCTGCCTGCTGTCACTGCCTTACCTCAGGTGACTTCAAAGCCCAAGGCCACGTGAGGACAACTCGAAGAGCCCAGCCTGAAGCAGGGTCCTAAGGCCTGGGGGTGGTGCCAAAGGCAGTTGGATATTTCCCTGCCCCAGCGCCACCCTGCCATGGGGGACTTTGTCTTTCCTGCTGTGGCCTGGCGGGGCCAGGTAGTGGTGGCATGCAGAGTGGTGGTGGGCAGAGAAGCCTTATCAAATGTGTCTGATTGGTGGGAAGCCCTCCACAGGACTCTGCTAGGGAAGGGGTCTTTGTCAACTTTGGGGAGAGCTGCTTTGTACCGCTATCCATTGTCATAAGGGGCCCTGGAGCAGGAAGCCAACCTGAACTTGACAGTTAAGGGAGGCCCTGGAAGTTGCAGGGCACAGGGCTGGCAATGACAGCGTGGAGAGGGTGTAGGGGTTGTTGGAGCAGCATCTGTTTACCACTGGGTAAGGAATTATTTCACATTCGAACAGCCCATGGCACCGTACCAGCTTCTTCAGTATAAAATAGGGAGCTGCCCTGTAGTGTCAGCTAAGGATCGGGGTTCATTCATACAGCATCTCCTCTATATCTGTAATATAGGACTATTTGCAGGAACTGAGTGGCCAAGGAATTGCTACAACAGAAGTATTTCCTCTGAAGACAGTAAGATGCTTTTAAAAGGCTTCAAATAAACTAGAAACATATTCTTCCATTGTTCTATTGTCCTAATGTGTATTTTACCCTTTCCTCTAATGAAAGTATCTCCTCTTCTTGGTTCTCAAAGCTACCATAACACTGTAAGAGTTGAGTTCATTTCCTAAATCAATAATGAAGTTCATTTCCTAGCTACAGCTTATCCTAACTAAAAAGTAGAAAGCTTATGACATTCCTGAAGGCGAGGAGAGAGATCATCCTTGTCTCTGTGAGTGTGTGCATATCTGCTTTTGCATGTTTAATCCACTCAAAAGACATCAATTTGGTATTTTTAATATAAGTTTCACTTCTGTTTGTCCAAATATAGCATCTGAAGTAGTATGTTTATGCGGCATCAGTCACCAAAATTCTCAGAAAAAGAGATGATGAGAAATAACAAAACTAGAGTATTTATGATTTATTGTCTCTGAAATAACTGCCTAATAATTATCACAGTTGACATTCAATAAGGCACAAAGACAACTTAAATTTCAACCCTCGTTGTACAATGAAGGACCATATATCTACAGTTTACTACATGTAGTGGCCTGATAAAATCTTATCTGTTGTTCTGAAAACCAAATTTACATTTATCCAAACATAGATTTGATAACTCTACAGGTTATTGGTATCAATCTGAAAACCAATAGTTTTTTTTTGTTTGTTTGTTTTTTTGGCAAAAGCCCCTTTGAAAGTGGACTTAATGTGAGGTTAAATCGCCATTACAAAGAAAATTTGATAAGGGCTAAAATAGGAAGCTACTTTTTATCTGACTTTATTAATGCCAAACTGCTTATGATACTTTTATGATTAAGGACTTACATAACAAAAATAAATACTTGAAAATATGTGCTCTAATATATAATACCATGATAACTAAAGTAATTATATATACAAACACACATACACATACAGCTCTCTCTGTATGTGACATATTTATTGTAAAACTTTGTATTGAATCTCAAGCAAGTCTTTTATGTACATTTAATGGTGCACGAAAGTTTTATGTTTATTATTGTGTTATCATTCATAAAATACATCAAAACAACCTGTAAGAATTATTTCTCATGTATGATTATGATCATTTATAACTAGCTAACAGTGGTTGTTTTACTGAAACAGGAGGAATGCAAGTCTATGAAGAAAAGAGAGTGAATTAGACTGTGGGAATGTTATGTCAAGGTTCGGATTCTGGAATTTATCAGGACAAACTAAATGACTGTTTTTCCTTTGGAATTGAATCAGTCACCTTCTTGAAGGTGGAGTAGGGGTGCTTGGAAAATGACTGATCTATTAAAACTCTGCTTAGAAATTAGGCAAGGCACCAAACACATTTTTTGCCTCAGTTTCATCATATTTAAAATGAAACATTAGTAGCACCTACTTTATTTGGTTCTAATAAGAATTAAATAAAATAATAAAATAAAACATTTAGTTCAGGGCCTGACATATAAGAAATCTTAAACATTACCTGTTATTAATTCAGTATCATGGTTCTGTATTGTCAGTAAGAGGTCCGATAATAAATGTAGTGAGTAGGGATGTGAAGGTCCTCGTTAGAAGAGGCACTTGCTTTTAGAAAGTTGGCTTTAAAAAGTTCAGAGAGAATCTCCACATTCAAAATGCTGACCATTTATACTCACAGCTCATTGTTTCTGCCTGTCTTGGCCTTAATACTTTAGAAAATCTATCTGCACTTAAAAAGTAAACTTTACATAAGATAAAAACATACTTTCCTATAGTAGCCTGTGACTAGTTATTGTCACCTAGGCAGTTAAGTTTGAATGCATTTGATAAGTTCATTTCGTGTACATATTCTTTGCTAAGCGTTGGGACCAATGTGAATGTGTGGTCCCTTCTGTCAGTCTGGAAAGATGGATAGACACTCAGACCAGTAATTCTAGTGCAATGAAGCAGGTGTACTGATGAAGGCGTGTGCATGATTTTGCATCGGTTGTTTAGAGAGATGTTTCTGATGTGGCCTGACCGCAGGTGTGGGTCGTGTGAAGGATGGGGGAGGGTACCCTTCCCCATACTCCACCTCTTCTTTTTCTATTAAACAACAGATTTCACACTCTCAATGGTAGATGTTTATCAGCCAGTTATTAGACTAAATTCTGCTTATTTTCAAAGAGCCAGCTTTTTTTTTTTTTTCTGGCTGGATTCAACCATAGGATAATTTTGTACACAGAGAGTGTATAATTAAGCATATATGAATGCAACAAATTTGGCCTAAATATATTTTAATGAAATGATTTTTAAAAACAAGGAGAGTATTCTTTTCTTTTTCCTAGAAAATTATGAGGTGTTTTATTTCCTCAAAAGCACTGTCTTTATTATTCCTAATATTATTGTTTTTTTTTCTTTTTTATGGAACTAACATATGTTCTCAATTTAGCAATTACAATCAGTGAATATAATTGTTTATTTTGATTTAGGTTTTCTATTCAATATTCTCAGTCCACACATGAAGGGCATATTGTCTACCTGAGAATGAATTTGAACAATTAGGTCTCTTCATTTTGTTAAGCTGATTTTCTCAAGAGACAGGTGGTCCTTATTAGTGATTACAAAACGCATTGTAACCTAGAGGTTCAGAGTAAACAGCAGAGCCTGAACTGCCAAGGAACAGCCATATGCTGCTCTGAGTCCACAGGGAAAGGGTGTATTGAAGTTACTGGATGGGCCTGAAACAACTCAGGGCTCACGTTTTTATTCTTCCAACCAATGCCATTTGTTTGCATTACTGTAGGAATGAGACAGGATTGGCTTGTTTTATTTTCTTCTCTTTTTCCTCAGGTAAATAATTTGAAGATAAAAATAGTAAAGGATAACGACTTCATAAAAGTGCCTCAACCACAGTAGACAGTGGGACGGTGTCCATTGGAAAGGGTGATTTGAAGGAGAAGGACTAATTTAATTTTGAGTGAGCCACTCTGTAGACAAGTGTAACTCTTGACAATTGCTGAATCCTGAGCCTCAGTTTTCTCATCTGTTAAGTGGGGATAATAAATGGGCTTACTTTGAAGAGTAAGTGCATTTTTATATAGTGGCCAAGACAAAACCTCAAAGCCAGAAAAAAAAGGTGTTTGAATTCTACCTCTCCACTCCTGAGTCTTATAGCCGTGGCATGTTGTTTTGCCTCTCCCAGTCTCGAGTTCTTCACCTGCATGGAAATAATCATAACTACTTCATGGAGTTTGGGGGATAATTAAAGAAACTTGCATATGCAAAGATTCTAGAACATTGCCTGACACATATTCAGTGTTAAATGAATATAGTAATAATAGTTTTGTTGTGTTTTGTCAGTATAACCAGCCTACTATAGAGGACTTATATTGGGTATTTCCATCTGAAATTTCATATGTGCAAAATCTTTTCTGCCTTTATTTTGATCTCTGAGGAGGGAGTAACTGTAAAAAGAGGTACATACACCAGGACAACTTGTCTGTGCCTATAAAATAAACTCCAAATGTTTATTTTGGTATAAAAAATGGGCTCCATGATGTCAATTCTTTGAATATAACAAGAAACTTGAGCAAAATTTCTAGCAGAATTTATTTGCTTCATTAAATCTCATGTACCTGTAGTATAGTATGTATAACATGACATTTTAATTGAATATATATGTTTACCTATAAATGGCCAGTCAAATACATGTTCTACTGGGGGTCCCTCAACTTTCCTAGAATACAGAAAGGAAGAGTTTCTGAGTCTTCTCATTTGCCTCATGGGTTTACTGTTTTGGATAAACATCAAAAGTGTT